GCCAGAGGCGGGGCGGAGTCGAGGGAAGCCGAGGAGGAAAGTGGTGCGGGAAGAGAGTTTAGTGTGGCGACCTCACCGCGTCGGAGGTGCGGCTGGGAGTTCAGGAAAGTGTTGACGAGCCAAAATGCTTACAAGTTAAGTGTTGAGATGCTTTGCTCACAAGATTTCTGTGAAGAGCTTGCGCTCGTATTATTGAAGACGTGTGCAATTGAAGTCTATTTGAATTACTGAACTTGCAGCAATAATTTGGTGAGAAAATTGCAAGAGTTTTATGTAAATGTTCAACCACATTATTTTATATCTTTCCTGAGGTTGTTTTACGTGAAATCTCTGAGGATGTGTCAGAAAAGGTGATATTATCTAGTTTAAATGTCGGAGGTCGGAGGTCACAATTTCTTATATAAGTGATATTTTAAATACCTTGGAGTGTTTGTAATATATTTTTGAAAACAAACATCGTTTATGGTAAACACATCAACAAAAGTAGACGTTACGTAGAGTGGGGAAACATTTTCACAAAAAGGCACAAAAAGGGAGCAAGTTTAGTAAACACTGCCACACATGTAAATAATACAATACTAGAAGAAAATGTATTGTAATAGTCTTGCAAAGTATTCAAAAACAAATATCACACGTATCCGCCTGAATTTCAACTCCTAGATGAAAAGCCAGCGTCCAGAGCACTTCTTCACAAAGCTCCAGAACAAAAGCAATCCTAAACGAAATCAAGGGAGTATCTTACCAAATCTCCCAGAAGCGCCTTATGTGAATTACCATAGAATTATCTCCCCTAATTGTCATCACTGAGTCGTTACTTTCATACAAAGCTCCAATTTTAATTAGGTGACTTTTGTGAATAAGTTCAGCGGAAATTTCGTTCAGCACAATAGAACATCTTCTAATAATGATAATACGCCTAAATTATAAGACATCGGCTAGCATTTGAATCATGAGTGTATGTGCCCCGAGTTATCATATCCTCTAATCTTCGTATCATTAACATACAATACCAGTATTTGAACATCCTGTAGCATTTGTTTCATGAGTATGGGTCTATAAAAATAGGACACCCCCTAATATTTGTGTCATGAAAAAGGCATCCACATTAATCACACGTTTTCTAGAAAACAAATCACGAATACACATCCACGCTAGAATTGGGACGCGCTAGAACTTCTACCACGAATACTTGTCATCCGCATTAAAACAACCTGCTGCCTTTGTACCACGTGAGTGAGCGGCGTCAAGGGCTCTCGGGAGCACCAATTGACAAGCGCGCGTAACGACAGGGCGGCGACAGACTTCCTGCGCCGTCGAGCCGCTCTCCCGAGTTTGGATCTCGCCGGTTGCACCGTTAGAAACCATATCTGTGCGCATAGGACATGATTAATTAGGGTAGTTCTGTCGTATTTACAAAGCGCCCAGTAATTTTGGAGAATTTGCCTCCTAATTGAGGGTTAGAAAATCTAGTTAGAGCGTTGGCCACTCGGCGCCGACATCGCTCGCATCGTCTCACCACCGCCCGATGCAGAAGAGAACTACAGACGTCAGTGGAAGGGATGTCAACGATATACTTTCCACCGCTATCCTTTATATTTAGAAAAAAAATTAAGTATTATTTGATATTTCCATAACTAAACTTTATTACGTGACTTGCATCACATAGCAAATATACCGTACACTGCATATTCAATAAACATTCACTTCTAAAAACAATACAAAAACAGAGTATCGAAAACGAGAGAAGCAAACATCGATTAAATTCATAAAAGAGTATCACAACGTTTTTATTCTGAGAATACGATAAATGAGAATAAAAGTAATTTCGAACTCTAACGGGAAAGCGTGCCAAACATAAAATTCACATAGTGTCACATCTTTTTGGTTTAAATTCGTTCGATTATAGTTGCCCGCCAATATGGTGTTGTATAATAGACAAATAGCACACCATGGCGCTACAGCCTATGTTGATAGCTGCGACAGTAAAGGAAGCCTACGTTATCACGAAAATGTGAAGAAAGGATTGAATTTGTTTGATGTATTTATTCTTAGAGTGTTGTGAATAATTCCATAATGAATTTCATGTTCAGCTGTTCTGATCGGCTATTTTCAGCGTTTTCCGAATATTTTTCATACAGATGCTGAAGTATCCCGACAGAAGGAAGCATGGTGACTCTTCCTCTCTCGTTCATGTTCACAACTCGATTGCTATGCCTGGGGGGGGGTCAACACATACTTTTTCACTCAATCGGTGAAGATGCATGCAACAATTTAGTGGTACCAACAATAACAACAATAATGTGTTTAAATATGTCAAGTTTTGAAAGCATGTACTGGATATTCATTGAACTATATTTAAATATTTTGTTTATAAACTCCAATAAATATAAAATTTAGAGTGTATGTCACGTATCCCCTCACTAAACCAGTTAACTTACCCCCGAGATTCCTGTTTTGATTCTGTTCGTAAGATTAGAGACATTTTTGTTCATAAAGATATAATGCCCAGTATTTTCAAAAATTTCAAAACTAAAATTATATTCTGAAAAAGATATTAAGAGAACGTATGACAGAAAAATGTCGAATTGCAAACGTTTTAAAATCCTATAATTCTCCTTCAGTTAGTAAAATGCTCTATTCTCTTAGCGAGTGTAATACATACCTCATAGTTTTAGTAGAACGTATTCCCCAGTTCTCCGAAACATTTCCTCTTAGAATAAGCACGTAAGAGTTTCACACGGGAATAGACTATCAAGTGATACTGCTGCCTTTACAGCCGCGTTGCAAGCACAGCCTGCCTCCTGTCACTCCTCCACTCACAGGTTCACGCGACCTCGCTCCGGCGCAGCCTCCTTCGTTAATTCGCCCGCCGAAGCACAGCGCTCGGGGGCGAACACTCGCCAAGTTGGAAGTGCGACGTCTAGTTCTTTGGCCACCGCCATCATAAGCACCGTCGCCACCACCGCTGCCATTGCCATCCACCACAGGCGTCTCCACTCTCAGAGCCATTGCCATCCACCATCGGACAGACTGCCCCTGTCATCTCCGCCGCCTTCACCATACCCCACTGTTGCTGTCACCTCCACTCAACCTCCACCGCCACTTCGATACCTCCACCCAGCCTCCGCCACGGCTGCTGGCGGCCGGGGCGACGTGCAGGCGTGGAGGCGTGGAGGCGTGGAGGGGCAGAGCGGAGCAGCAGCGCGACGGAGAGGCAAGGCGGTCACGGAGGCTGCTGCTCGCGGGCAGCCACGTCGACTGGCGAGGCGATAGCGTTGACAGAGTATCAGGAGTGAGCGTGTTAGCAGTGGTGAGCGGGAGGGCAGAGGGATAATGGAAATGGTGGGGGTGATACACGAAACGACAGGGGAGCGGCGGTGATGGCGAATCGTCTGTGAAGGTGACGACGTGGCGAGATGGAAACGTGGATAGTAGAACGATGGAACGTTGCAGAAAAATAGTGGAGAGACAGTGAAGTGGTAGATAGTGGTGCGGTGGAAAACTGACAGCGACGTTCAGTTCGGGAGGTGGGGTGGAAAAATTGGCAATGAAGGAGACAGAGGGACGGTGGGGAACTGACAATGAAGGTGACAATGGTAGAGAGTAGAACTAACGATGGTGGTGACAGTGAGACGGGGGGATATGACAATGAAGGTAACAGAATGACAGCGGGGAACTAGCAATGAAGGTGACAGTGGGACTGTGGAAAAGTAGCACAGAAGGTTACAGTGGGACGGCAGGAAACTGGCAAAGAAGGTGACAGTGTGAAAGTAGAAAATTGACAAAGAAGGTGACAGTGTGAATGTAGGAAACTGACAAAGAAGGTGACAGAGTGAAGGAAAGAAACTGACAAAGAAGGTGAGAGTGTGGAGGTAGGAAACTAACAAAGAAGGTGACAGAAAGAAGGTAAGAAACTGACAAAGAATGTGACAGATGGGGAACTGCCTGTGGGCCGTCGGAAGGCGGTGGTGGAGAAACGGTCTCAGAATGGCGGCGGAGACAAAAGACGCTGAAGTGAGCAGGAGGAAAGTCGTGGGGCAAAGTGTAACGAAAGGCGACGGGGCGAGGGGCGTGGCAGCTGGCACATGCGCCTCTCGCCGAAGGGTGGGGGGCAGAGGGGGGAGCGAGTGAGCGCAGCTAATGCGAACACGAAATACCCATCCCGACGCAATCTTCGTTATTAATGCCTGCGTTACAATGCCGCAGAACGTCCTGCTTCGCGCGCCGCCTCGCGCTGCCCAGGGCGAAGACGCCGCTTCGATGGAAGGGGCGATGCGAAGGTGGTGGCCAAAGACGACTAGTCAAGTGAGGTTGTAGTCGTGACCAAAATACTCAGAGTAATGTAAAAACTGAAATGGTGGGAAATGGCAATCATGGCAAGTCACAGTTATTAAAATGCCTTACGTTTATTATTATTATTATTATTATTATTATTATTATTATTATTATTATTATTATTATTATTATTAGCCAATCGGACATATCTGACCACCCTACACATTTTCTTCCGAGCTCCAGTCATATTCTATCACGGAGCCAGATTAACAGGCGTCATTATAAGGACCTGCTTTTCGACTGTACCCCTTGGCAAGACAACGCTGTTAAGGCTTGAAGTATGAGGTGATATGGTGATTTTGATAGGTTGTTACAGTCTTTTGGAACCTTTCGTCCGGTATGACCGAGGAAAATCACGTAAACCCCGGTGATGAGGGCCGGCCCGAGAATCGAACTCGGGCCTCCCGACTGTGAAATCAGCGCGTTACGCACTGACCCACTTCGCTCGCTCCTTCTGCCTCTTCTTCTTATTCTTAATAATAATAATAATAATAATAATAATAATAATAATAATAATAATAATAATAATAATAATTTTAAAGTTTCCATCTCCCTTATGTTAACGCCAGTTACTCTTCTAACACTATAATGTCCTCAAATCCCCAATTACAGTCAACACCTACTGACCAGCGTTTCTCTCTCTAAATGAACATCTCTGGCAGCTGTAACACCGTCTGAGTGTTCCACGACTGCGGTCGCTGATTTGTTCAAAAGATCCTCTTTCACTATTATCTGGCGTACATTAATTAATTTAGTACGCCGTTTATCAGCGAAAACACAGTATTCTGCGTTTGTAAGCCACGTCGCTGCGACAGACAAAGGCATAGGGCAAAAACTACAGACGTCCCACTAGTCACCGCAATCCTCCTATTGTAACTAAATGTTCATATCTATATTTTGATCAAGGTATTTCTGATTTTGTGACAGTTTCACGTACAACATACATATAGCACAATACATATCTGTATAATACAGTAACAAGATACAACACACGTTAACTAAAAACGAGATAGTGACATTTAAAGATATCCGGAGGCATGGTGGGGCGAATCGTGCTGCAGTCCCAAGATCTTAATATCTCATTTTCATGATCATTATACATATCCTTACGACCGGAGCTACCACCACCGGACACAAACGTAAAGAAATAAACTAATGAGAAAAACGGAGCGTTGAGGCAACGCAGAAGAGAAACGAGCCTCACAGCAGAAGACGGGGAGACGGAGAGGCGGCGCCGTCTGCGCCGACGACATTCCGTCGCGCCTACGCCGTTGGCGTCGTCGACGGCGTCGGCGTCGTCCACCTCCTCCTCCTCCTCCTCCTCCTCCAGCACCTCGGGGGTTGGGGCGGCTCCTGCTGCTGCTGCCGGCGTCGCGATGCAGGTTAACAGCAGGGAGTAAACATTTTTACTGTCGCATTAAAGCACAGAGCCTCGTCAGCTCGCTTTAGTGCTGCGCGCAGAGCGACGGTAGCAGCGACGCACGCTGGTCCGAGACGGCGCGAGACGGGCGCAAACGCGGGAGAAGAATGTAACATGGCAAAACTCAAAATCCGTCATCGGTAACCGACGCTGATAAACTGGTACGTATGTATGGCTCCAACAGAATTATAAAGTAAAAGTTCTTGCATTCGAAGCGAGCGTGGTAAAGGTGAAGAGACTATGTGCAGATCATGAGTGTAAATGATAAACTTTAAAATTACAGAGAGTGGTGCGAAGTAAATGATATTTAAAAATATGTAATGGGAAGAGACAATGCAATTTGAAAATAGACCGGAGCTAAGAGTTGTAAGTTTGACTTCCCTCCTGGGCATGAGTATCTTGCCCCAGGAACATCTGAACATTCAGTCTCTCTCAGCCAAATCCTCAAGGAGTATTTTGGTTTGAAATGTCATGGATTGTCGCGGAAAACATTACAGTTAGGTGTGTTTTCATTGCTTTGATTTCCTGTGTCAATTAGTTTCCTTTGAACAGAATCCATGTACACATCTCACACTACAACTCTTCCTCAGTATCAATGCCTCAAAGTTGATTATATACTTTGAATCATATTGGGTGGTTTTCTGATTTTTGTAGGTGTAAAACAAAAGAATCGTAATAAATGAATGTTCGACCTCTATTACGTACACCATTTCATTACGTAACAAAGTGGCATTTAACCCTCAAAAATGTTTAATGAGGATGATGACATGAATTCGTATATAATATATAAAGATGTCCAAAAATGTATAAACTCTTTGAGGTGAATATATTTGGAACGGGGAGATGTACGGCTGTAATTTGTGCTTGCTATTTCAGTTGAATGTTTTGTTACAAGTTCGTATTGTGATGTGTTTACAATGACCCCCACCCCATTAGCAGCTAAACATTGTTCATGCCGCTAAACTACTGACCGTCTGTATATACATATATTTTTTGGACCTCTCTTTTTATATAGTATAATATAATTTCAGTTGTACTTAATGTAGAAGAAAAGGTATAGAAAATGTAATAAACTCTCAGATAATTGGGTCTAAATAACGGTTTGTTGTTCAAGTGGGGAGGAAATAGATTAACAAGTAGGTTGAAAAGTTTTGATAATTGACAACTTCAATCAAATCAAAATCAATATATTGTGGAAATCAGGCTGAGAGATAGTTAACTGCAAGATGTACAGATGAAATGGTACTCAGTTATTTATCTATTTATAGCTTACAATGGGTTTGCAGACTTCATCCTTATACTTTATCTATCCAACGTTTATTGATTTTCATTTGTTTAATTACACTTGGGTCAACCATAAAAAGCCATCAGACAAATAAAAAAACATTTTCCATCAATTTATTGATTTGTTATGTAGTGATTCCTGGCGCGTCAACTGGGAAGGTCGGCTCCCTTAAGTGTAGTGCGCGCGTTTCTCGTGAGGTGGCCGTGGTATTTCCCCTCCGGATGGCGAGACCCGGCGTCGATGTACTCGTCGACTAGCGGGAGCTTCCCTCGAAGATTTCTTCGACCGCAACGGCGTTCGACTTCGCTCATCCGGCCCACAGTGTGCCGCGGCTCCTTGAGGCGTCGCGGGGCGTCGCGGCGCCGGTGCGGGCGACGGCGATGGAGGCCTACTGCTGATTGATTCCGCGTTTAACGCGCGCGGATTTAACGGCCGCGCCCAGGGGATTATGAGTAGTGTGTCTAAAGCGGCGCGGCGCGGCGTTCGGGATGGGCGCCGCGTGAGCAGCGAAGCGTCTCGACGCCCCCCCCCCCCCACGACGTCACGCACGCACCCTGGCGGCGGAGCGGAATACGAGGGGGCGTTTTACGAAGGACGGAGGACGGAACGGCGCGTTAAAAAGACAAGTGCGGGAGTGTGTTGAGACGATATGCCGTGTGTGCTTTGGTTCTGAATGCGGGTGTCGTACTGCGGGACATCCTTCGAAAGACGCACGCTTAACTTTGTGGCACGTCGCGTTTTACAAGTGAGCTGCTATTCGCTGCGAGAGCAAACTCCCTTCCAGGCCATCTTAAACTTGTTATTGCTCTGGATGATGGATAACTCAACAGCAGTATTGTATAAACAAACCAGAGCAATAAATGACGAACGAAACTTTTGTAAAGAAGAAAAGGCGTCCAACTGAATGACATTGCTCCATTTACTATGAATCTGAAGTAAGTTAAATGCCAGTTTTTATGCACGTCACCAAAAATTTAAAAAGTTATATTTCATAATAAGAATTGAAATAGCATGAAAACTAGGGTTTATTGTTGATGTATACATGTCAGGTGTTACACTAATAGAAAAGTGAGTGAGAGACAAAACAAAAACGAACAAGAAATAAAATACTCTCGAATAATATTGAAATTAATTAAATATTTTAACAAAACAGTTTTCACGAATACTGCAATAACATAGTATCGTTAGTTTTCACGAGAATCAATACAAACTAGAGCTGTTGCAAAGTCAGTAACATTGTATTTATAAACACAGTAATAAGGTATATCACAATCCAAATTTGAATTTTCAGTTAATGAGGATATCATTATACAGAGTTACAGAAATTAATTTTCAACATAAAAATTAAAGTCTTGAAATTAAAACTCTTCACAGGTACATCACAGGACAAGTGAATTGTTAAAAGATCTCAAAAAATAGTATTTATAACAAAAATGTAGTTTCCAAATACTTTACCAACGGGTGGGGATCAGGCACCGGGATCTAAACCTTAATTTTTCGTTGTATTAAAATATTATATAATCTTGCTTACTTCAATTGAATCATCAATTTCGTGCAATCTTCAATCAATCATCAACGTGCTTCCTTAGTCAAAAAAATTTCCGCTTTGAAATAGAAAAATTCAATCGAAAAGGAACAAAAAAATCCATTTATATTTGCCTTTAAAACAAATGACAAAAATAATTACATTTTTGGCAATTAAAACTTATTTATCTTAAAAAATGTAACTTCATAACATAGCAATGCATTATTTTCTAGACTTGAAATTCTAGGAATATTTACACAATGTTTTTTAAAGTTTGTTTTGTAATAATTGATCCCGATTTTCCTTACTTACAGCTTACTAAATATCCTGTAATCATTCTCATTTTAATAACACTTCTATATATTGCAATATATAATAAACTAAAAACCGCCGCAACAAAAACAATGGTGTTGAGCTTCCTAAAAATGTTGAAAGCTATAAAAACCTCTCTTCGGTATCCTTAGAGCCTCTACATTGTAATGCTAAGGCCAATCTACAAATGTGTAAATGCTACTTTAGATTAAACCTCCGGTGCAAAGCTAAAAAATGCAGTGCCGAAAATAAGGATTGTGATAGAAACGTACGTTAGAAATCATTCACTTTTGAATATTATTACACAGCCAGGGAAATACCTCGAAAATAATGCACTTGCACAAGTTTATTTTAATTTTTTTAAGTTCATTTTTTTCGGATGAAATGCAAAGTAACTCCCTCTTTTTCTTCTAGAAATAAATGTAGCTCACTATCTGAGAACTACAAATGTTGTTTTCTTGAGGTCAGTGGGGAACATGGCTATAGTAATAGAAATAGTAATCGTTTTCCATAACCTCGCGCAGTAAGTTCATTCCTTCAGGAAGCGTAAGATTAAGGATAATAACCAAAATCTGAAGCAGATTTGCCTTTGCAAATAGTTTATATTACTCGGAAGAGAACATATTCGTATTTATTTCAACCTATTTAGCTTGTTTTCACCTGCATCAAAAATTCCACTCTATATATGATTTAGGGTAGATATTCCAAACGTCAAGAAACGTTTACAGATTGCATTTCTCCCCCGTAAATTCTTACACATAGCTTTTATCTGTTTTATAACGTTAAATTAATAAAATGAAAAGTTCTGAAATGAAATGCTCTTCCTCCTCAACCGAAACACCTTGGCGACAAAAAGTGTTACCGCATTTAATACTGCATGCATTGCGAGCCCGCCGTGACCGACACCCGCGTCCCGAACGCCCCCCTCTGAAGTCCTCCGTCGGCCGCAGAATAGAAAAATGCGGCGCCTCCTCTCCGAGGAGCGACTGGCGCGCGCAGATCTCAATTTCGATAGCGCGGCTGCGGCGCGGACGGCTGCTCGCCCGAGAGGGGGCCTTGGGCTCGCTCCACTGCCCGGCGGCCGCCAGCGCGGGGCACGAGCGTGAGGTTTCTCTGAGGATCCATTGATCGATCAGTGATTGCGGGCGCGTCGACTGCGCGGAGCTGGAATGGCCCATCTCGCCACGGTTAATGTAAGGAACACTTTATCGGAAACTATTGAATTCACAGATGTGGAATTTTATGAGAGTGTACGTTCGTTATTTATAAGTATTTTAACGAAGTCGTTTTAAAAATATTACTAGTTTTTTAAATATAATTGTTTGCCCATTGTATTCGGTTTAGATTTTAAAAATACTCATATTTAAGGAATATTGTCTATTGTAAATCCGTCCCGGTAAAGTATATAAACTGGTGTGCTGTGTATTCTGTTAAAATTTGAGCATCCTTCTATAAGTAGTTTTGAGAAAATGTTTCCTAATGATGAAAATGTTAAATTTACGGGAAATGGCTCCTAAAGTTTTCAGTGCACTCCTGGTCTATATGCTGCACAAACACAAACCCCGATATTTTGACGAAAATATTAACTATTTCTCACAACGAAAACAGACAAGAAACGGTCAATGTGACCCATGATGTGTGAAAACGGCCACACATCCTTCGACGCTACATGAACTTGAAAATTTTTAAAAAAAATTAGAGAAGACATTTTCAGGTGAAAGGAGGCTTATTTAACACACAAAACTATAAATTAACTAATGATTCAAAAATGTAAAAAAACTATATTTTCATCATTTTTGCCCTCGTTGGCTCCTCTTAACGCATTAGGCCCGTGAAGGCCCCGCCTATGGTGAGAGCCGCCTATCGC